CCTTGCCGGGGCTGGGCTAAGTAATCTGCTCAGGTTTGCTCTTGGTAGCTTTTGTTCCCTGCAAGCTTTCAGTACAGCTTTGGAGGACGAGAGTGAAAATGGCAGCCTCCCAATCTCTGCCCCAGAGAAGCCAAGAACTCGGGGCCCCAATCCTCAGTGCGCCCCCAGAGAAAAGCAGTCAATCACTCCTGTCTCCCCAGTCTCTGGCCACACTCCGTGCTCACCCGGCCTATGACCGAGCGTTTTTATCTCTGGCACACGACCCTGTTTGGAGTCTCCAAACCCAGTAGATCCCGGCGGTGCGCTCCTGCGCCACTCCTCCCTGGATCTGCTGCTTGTTGGGTCCCTGCTGGAAGAGCAGTGGCCCGACTGTGCCAGAGATAGTTCATAGCAACCCTGAGCTGAGAGCCCACTCCTTGGTTCTGTCTTTGCGGCCGGCTTCCCCACTCCAATACCTGGGAGCTCTGCCGCACTCAGGCACCCCCGGTCTCTGCCAAGCACTATAGTTGAATGATCACAATTCTGCTCTATTAACTGTGTGCCTCATACAGTTAGTTCTTCAATCTATCTGAGTTAGTGTCCGCACTGGTTTTTTTTTTTTTTAAAGTATCTGGACTACAGAATTAATAATGTGGATAATTAGGGACACCTGGGTGGCTCAGATGGTTAAGCGTCTGCCTTCGGCTCAGGTCGTGATCCCAGGGTCCTGGGATCGAGACCCACATCGGGCTCTGTGCTCAGCGGGGAGCCTGCTTCTCCCTCTCCCTCTGCCTGCCTGTCTGCCTACTTGTGATCTCTCTCTCTCTCTGTCAAATAAATAAATAAAATCTTTAAAAAAAATGTGGATAATTAAAATAACTTAAATAATTTATTCTTTTTTATTTTTTTTAATTTTTATTAAAAAAATTTTTTTTTTAAGATTTTATTTATTTGAGAGAGAGAGAATGAGAGACAGAGAGCATGAGAGAAAGGAGGGTCAGAGGGAGAAGCAGACTCCTTGCTGAGCAGGGAGCCCAATGTGGGACTCGATCCCGGGACTCCAGGATCATGATCTGAACCAAAGGCAGTCGCTTAACCAACTGAGCCACCCAGGCGCCCCTATTCTTTTTTTAAAAAAAGATTTATTTCTTTATTTAGAGAGAGAGAGTGCAGTGGGGAGAGAGAGAGAGAATCTCAAGTAGACTCCCCGCAAAGTGTGGAACCTGACATGGGACTTGATCTCATGACTCTGAGATCACGACCTGAACCGAAACCAAGAGGTGTATACTTAACCAACTGTGCGTCCCAATTAATTATTTATTCTTAATAAATGCCTAATTCACACTTAATAAAGCCTGGCAGACAGAAAGCACACAAATAGCACCTACTATAACATTAAACCTATGGCCACATGAGTTTGAGTTCTGAAGGAAACACAGTTTACTCTTGGGTTAAAGCGCTAAAGTAAGAAGAGACAAGATATTTTTGGCTAAAAGTTGGTCTCATACTTCAGAGACCATGTATTAAAGCAGGGTAGTTAGAAGAATCCTGTTTACAATATAGGTCAGTGGTTCCCAAACACCAGTCACAGGACTGGCTGTATAAGATTTCCTTATAAAGCTTTATCAAAATATAAGTAAATGCCCAGATCCCCCTGGTAGAAGCACTAATTCAGCAGGTCTGGGAAAAGTCCAAATCATCTGTATTTTAATCACTTTTTAGGTGATTCTAATGAGTGACCAGGTTTGAGGCCACCGTATATACTACCACCATCTTGTACTTTGAGGTCCAGGGTATAATTAATTATTCTTTAATACCTTGTTCTTGTCTTACTAGGAAGCTGGACAAAGAATGTGGGCAGGATACCTTAAGAACATCATACAGGGTAGGGCCTTTTGTATGCAACCACTTTCTAAGCATAATTTCCCAACAGATATCCAGATTCTATTCAACTCTGTCAATAGAAGAAAACTTTGCAAAAAGCAACACAAACTCAAAGCATTTTCAAGTGCTTTATGTGATGACTATAACACTGAATATATCAAGAAAGATGGAGATTTTTTTCAAGTTTAAATACTAAGAAGACACCAAATACAGAGGAAAGACAACAGAAGTAAAATTTTCTCTATGTTAATTATTGTCCAACAATCTCACCAGGAGAGTAATAGTTATACTACTATTTATAATAGTAATGGAAGCCAGGTGATGTATAAACAATATTAAATTACTTACTTTGCCATTGTTTCTGCAGACAGGTCCTCAGAATTCTTGACTTTTGTTTCACCTAAAAAGAAAATATTTAAAAAATAAAATTCCCAATGATAGGAATTATAAAAGCAAGAGTATTCTCTTTAAAAAATCTCATTTTGGGGAATGAAATTCAGACTTTGTAATTGTGTATGAAGGACTAGGCAAGGATTTTCTATGTTACAGATGCATCTTTATAGTTGGCCACCCTAAGGAGGATATAATTCCAGTAGCCTAGCAAAGATTTGTCCATATTCCTAATACATCACCAGCATCAGAATTTGGTTACATTAAAGGACTTTTTTTAAGCTAAACAACAACACATATATGTGTGTGTATATTTATAAAATATCTTTTATAGAAACTAAGACTTCCCTCAAAGAGCCCAAATGGAACAGGCCAGGTTATTTTGTGGCCACACTGAAATTTGTAATAACACTATTCAAAGGGGGTTGGCAAATATATCACTGAGTCAATGACTAATTAAGAACATCACTCACCATGACCTCGCAGATCTAAAGCCACAATCCTACACTGAACCCTACTAATGATCGCCGCCTAGGAAAATAAGGAAAATCTGGGTTAGTAAGTCTTTCCCCATCACCAATGATAACTTTGTTGAATGGACTGCCATCAGAATTCAAAAATCTCAAAATAATCAAAGAAAGACGTTTCACTTTTTTTCTTGAGTATAGCTGACATACATTGTTACATTAGTTTCAGGTGTATAACACAGTGATTTGACAGGTTTATACACTATGTTATGCTCACCACATACAACACTATTACAGTATCATTGACTACATGTTGTGCCTTTTATTCCTGTGACTTACTCATTCCATAACTGGAAGCCGGTATCTCCCACTCCCCTTCACCCATTTTGCCCATTCCCCCATTTTGCCCATTCCCCCATTCCCATCCCTCTGGCAACCATCAGTTTGTTCTTTTATTTCATGGCTCTGATTCTGCTTCTTGTTTGTTAATTCATTTTTTTTTTTAGATTCCACATATGAATGGAATCATACAGTATTTGTCTTTCCCATCTGACTTATTTCACTTAGCATAATACCCTCTGGATCTAACCCATGCTGTCATAAATGGCATGATCTCATTATTTTTTATGGCTGTGTAATATTCTATCATGTGTATATATATCACATCTTCCTTATCCATTTGATTAGTAATGGACACTTAGGTTGCTTTTATATCTTGGCTATTGTAAATAATGCTGCAGTAAACATAGGGGTGCATGTATTTTTTCAAATTAGTGTTTTCATTTTCTTTGGGTAAATACCCAGGAGTGGAATTATTGAATATATGATCTTTCTACTCTTAATTTTTTGAGGAACCTCCATACTGTTTTCCACAGCAGTTGTACCAATTTACATTCCCACTAACAGTGCACAATAGATGCAGAAAAAGCATTTGACAGAATTCAACATCCATTCATGACAAACCTCTCAACAAAATGAGTTTAGAGGGAACATACCTCAATATAATAATAAAGCCCAAATACAAAAAACCTACAGCTAACATCATACTCAATGGCAAAAAACTGAGAGCTTTTCATCTAAGATCAGGAATAAGACATAGATGCTCACTCTTGCCACTTTTGTTCAACAAAGTACTGGAAGTACTAGCCACAGCAATCAAATTATATTCCCACCAACAGTGCACAACGGTTCCTTTTGTCTACAGCCTTTCCAATGCTTGTCTCTTTTCTTTTTGATAATAGCCAACAGTTGTGAGGTGATAACTCATTGTGGTTTTGATTTGCATTTTCCCAATGATTAGAGATGTTGAATATCTTTTCATGTACCTGTTGGCCATTTGTATGTTCTCTTTGGAAAAATGTCTATTCAAGTCTTTTGTCCATTTTTTTTAAAGGTTTTATTTATTTCAGAGAAGGAGAGCATGAGACAGACAGAGATCATGAGCAGGGGGGAGGAGTAGAGGGAGAAGCAGACTCCCCCCTGAGCAGGAAGTCCTATGTGGGACTCGATCCCAGGGCCCTGGGATCATGATCTGAGCTGAAGGAGAGACACTTAACTGCCTGAGCCACCCAGATGCCCTTTTGTCCATTTGTTAATTTGGATTTTTTGTTGTTGTTATTGAGTTATATGGATTTCTTACATATTTTGGATATTAACCACTTATCAGATAGATGGTTTGCAAATATTTTCTCCCATTCTGTAGGTTGCCTTTTCATTTTGCTGATAGTTTTTTCTTTTTCTTTTTTTCTTTTGACTATGCAGAAGCTTTGGGGTTTGATGTACTCTCACTTGTTTCTTTTTGCTTTTGTTGCTTGCGCTTTTCGTGTCATACCCAAAAAATCATTGTCAAAACTAATGTCAAGGGACTTTCTCCCCCCATGTTTTCTTCTAGTAGTTTTACAGTTTCAGGTCTTACATTTTAATCTTTATTTTTTATTTATTATTTTTTTAAGATTTTATTTATTTGACAGAGAGAGACACAGTGAGAGAGGGAACACAAGCAGGGGGAGTGGGAGAGGGAGAAGCAGGCTTCCCGCGGAGCAGGGAGCCCGATGTGGGGCTCAATCCCAGGACCCCGGGATCATGACCTGAGCCGAAGGCAGACGCTTAACGACTGAGCCACCCAGGTGCCCACATTTAAATCTTTAATCCATTTCAAGTTAATTTTTGAGAGTGATGTAAGATAAGTCCACTTTCATTCTGCATGTGGTTACCCAGTTTTCCCAACACCACTTATTGAAGAGACTATCCTTTCTCCATTGAGTCTTCTTGGTTCCCCGATCAAATATTAGTTAATCATATACGCATGGCTTTTATTCTAGTGTGGCAAACGAAGACCAGAAAACAATGAAAGAACTAAGTAAATTCAGAGAGTAACATGTTTTATAAATAATGAGAAAGTGTCAGAGCATGTCCATAATAATTTTTCTCTTTAAAGGTATTCATTAGAGTAACAGAAGTAGAAACAGACTTGCAAATGGCAAGATTTCATTCTGTCTGATGGCTGAATAATATTCCATTGTGTGTATGTGTGTGTGCATGTACACACATCTTTTTATCCATTCATCCATCAGTGGACATCTGGGCTCTTTCCATAGTTTGACTAGTGTGGACACTGCTGCTGTAAACACTGGGGTGCATGTGACCTTAGAATCACTATGTTTGTATGCTTTGGATAAATACCTAGCAGTGCAATTGCTGGGCCATAGGGTAGCTCTATTTTTAACTTTTTGAGAAACCTTCATCTTGTTTTCCAGAGTGGCTGTACCAGTCACTCTGGAGAGGGTTCCCCTTTCTCTGAATCCTCACCAACATCTGTTACTTCCTGAGTTGTTAACCTTAGCGATTCTGACAGATATAAGGTGATATGGCATTGTAGTTCTGATTTGTATTTCCCTGATGCTGAATGATGTTGAGCATTTTTTCATGTGTCTGTTAGCCATTTGTATGTCTTCTTTGGAGAAGTGTCTGTTCATGTCTTCTGCCCATTTCTTGGCTGCATTTTTTGTTTTGGGGTGTTGAGTTTGATGAGTTCTTCATAGATTTTGGATACCAACCCCTTATCTAATACATCATTTGCAAATATCTTTTCCCATTCCATAGGCTGTCTTTTAGTTTTGTTGACTGTTTCCTTTGCTGTGCAAAAGCTTTTTATCCTGTTGAAGTCCCAATAGTTCAGTTTTGCTTTTGTTTCCCTTGCCAAGATTTTAGAGAGAGAGAGAAAGAGAGAGAGAGAGAGCGTGTGCACACAAGGGGGGGGTAGGGCAGAGGGAGAGAATCTTCAAGCAGTTTCCCCACTGAGTGTGGAACCCACCATGGGGCTCAATCTCACGAGATCATGACCTGAGCTGAAATCAAGAGTCGAATGCTCAACTGACTGAGCCACCCAGCTGCTCCGTTTTTTTTATTACTGATTCAGTTTTGTTTCTTGTAATTGGTTTATTCAGATTTTCTATTTCTTCCTAGTTCAGTTTTGGAAGATTATATGTTTCTAGGAACTTATCCATTTATTCTAGGTTGTCCAGTTTGTTGGCATGTAATTTTTCATAGTATTCTTTTACAATCCTTTATATTTCTGTGGTATCAGTTGTTACTTTTCTTTCATTTCTGAATTTACCTATTTGCGTCCTTTCTATTTTTTCTTGATGAGTCTAGCTAAGGATTTGTCAATTTTATTTATCTTTTCAAGATAAATAAATCATGAACTTACTCTTGATTTCACTGATTTTTTATTGTTCTTTTAGTCTCTACATCTTTTATTTCTGCTCTGATCTTTATTATTTCCTTTCTTCTGCTCACTTGGGCTTTGTTTGTTCTTTTTCTAGTTCCTTTAGCTGTAAGATTAGACTGTTTTGATTTTTTCCTTGTTTCTTGAGATAGGCTTGAATTGCTATATAATTCCCTCTTAGAACAGCTTTTGCTGCAACCCAGAGATTTTATGGCTTTTACTTCTTGTGGTTAACTTTTGAAAGTTAACCTGCCCCAACATCATATATGAATGTTCTTAAGGTTTGTTTTTTTAATTCAGCAGTTTAATCCATTTGGATTGTTATTTTTGTTGTATATTAAATTTTATTTCTTTATTCTTTCTCCAAATATCACACTATTGATAGTTTTAGAATATCTTTTGATATCTGAGAGTGCGTGTCCCTTCTCACTCTTTTTCAAAATTATCTTGGTCATCACTGGGCATGTATTCTTCTGTGTGTATTTTAGAGTTTGTTGATCAAGTCTCATGAAAAATCCAATTGAGATTTTAACATGTTTATCAGATTCATACAGGAACATGATTTACTTGTCTATTCAGGTTTTCTTTTATATCCTTCTGTGAAGTTTAATGTTTTCTCCATAAATGCCTTACACTGTTTTTTTTTAATAAGGCTTATGGCCAGATATTTTATGGTTTTGTTGCTTTTAGGAATAGGATCATTTTTCCTGTCATATTTCCAAATTTAGAAAGTGCTAATACTTAGAAAAGGCAGATTTTAAGATACTGATTTTGTAAACTATGGCTTAACTAGTAGTTTGTTAGCTGATTTTCTAGGAGGGCAATATTTTGAAATAATGACAATTCTCAATCTTTTCAAATCTTGAAAACTCATTTTTCTTTCTAGTTTTGTTTGGCCAGAACCCTAGTATAAATGTTGGAAAAAGCATCCTTATCTTGTCCTTGACTTTAAAAGAAAGTGTCTATAATGTTTCACCACTAAGTGTATTTATATAATTTTCTGGTATATAAACTTAATAAAGTTAAGGGAGTTCTTCACCTATTCCCAGTTGCCAAGAGTTTGCAACCTAAGTGAGTACTGTATTTGATCAAGACCCTTTTTGATATCAAGTGAAGTGAGAGATTAATTATACTGATGGATTTTCTAATGCTGAACCATTCTCAGATTCCTATGACAAAACCTAGTAGATTACAGTGTATTATTACTTTACTACACTACTGGATTCAATCTGCTGTTATTTAGAATTTGCATCTATTTTATAACTGAAATTGGTTCATAGTCTTCCTGAATTTTTGTGGCCTAGGTTTGGTATTAGACTGATGCTACATTCATAAATAAATTGGGTAGCTTAAAACAGTACTATTCTAAGTAGTGTTTTTACATGGTGAAAAAATCTAATTAAACATTCTCCTTTTTGGGAGAAATTAACATGCCATAAGATATCAAATATTTAGAATTGTGTAATACAAGGAAAACCTTTTAACTAGTCTGCCTGCCTCCACTGGTGTCTCTGGCCCAATCCATTAGCTATAGTAGTATCTTGATTAACAACCTTCAATAACTTATTGCCTAAAACAGTGATACTCAATTAGATGTAGGTAGAGGTATATCAAAATATTCAACTTCCCTGAACTTTCCAGTCTGGATGTGTTTGTGATTATTTCAAGCAAAACATGCTTTCCATACCCCCTCCCTAATTTTGACATGCCTAAAATATATTTAATGTGGATATGGATGGGAAAGTGTTTAAAACCAGTTCCCTTTATTATTACCCTGAAATAAAGACATAAGGTGTAATTCCCTAGCCTGGTATAAAAGGCCCTCCTATAATTTTGCCCCTGTGATCTCTCTAGTCACTTCCTGTCCTGCTCCCCACCCTCATACTTTAGACTCAAGCTACTTATAATTTCCAAAACATACTTCGTTGTTACAGCCTTCATTGCTTTTGCATTTCTCTCTCCTTGGAATGCCTTCTTTACTAATCCAACTTCTATTACGTCTTCAAAACCTAGTTCAGATGTCCTCTTTCTTTTTTTTTTTTTTTAAAGATTTTATTTATTTATTTGACAGAGAGAGATACAGCGAGAGAGGGAATACAAGCAGGGGGAATGGGAGAGGGAGAAGCAGGCTTCCCACGGAGCAGGGAGCCCGATGCGGGGCTTGATCCCAAGACCCTGGGATCATGACCTGAGCCGAAGGCAGACGCTTAACAACTGAGCCACCCAGGCACCCCGAGATGTCCTCTTTTTTAATGCAACTTTCTTTATAGTCCCCTCAACCATCACCAGAGTTAATCATTTCCTCCTCTGTTACTTTTGTATCTTGCATATAGATGCTATAAATTTATCTAAAACTGAGTGCTTGAGTCAAGCACTTTATCAAGAGGCTCATATCTTTTACTCATTCTCACAATTTCCCTATTGACTTAGGTAGCGTTATACCCATTTTACAGATTGAGAAACTAAAGCTTGACAGATTAAGCTGTTTTGAGATTAAAACCCATTTGTTTGAAATGAAAGCTTTTATTTTATTTTTTTGCGTGTTATTTGTATAGACGTACCATCTTCATCTTTCCAATCTTCCCCATTAGACTCAAAACATCGTACGAACAAGATAGGACGTGTTTAATTCTTTACTGTATCCATAGCACCTAACATAATGCCTGGTACAAAGTAGGGATTTAACAGGTTATTTCCTGATTACTTGATCTTATTAAAAAATGAAATCTCATTTTTCTATCCTTAGAACCCAGCACAAAACCTAATTATAGAATATACTCAGTAATTATTTGCTAACATGAACTGAATTAACTGGAAGAAGAAACAGAAATCAGCAGACACTTCAGATTCAATTCACATTTGGTTGGTTCCAGGTCCCTCAGAGTTACCAAAGCTGGTAACAACTGGAGACTGGCAAAACCTAGGCTTCTGAGGCTGCATGTGCTAATGAGATACCACTGCTCCTCTCCTTTCTGTCAAACTTCAATTTCTGCTTAGTTCTTGATTCTCCAACAGCAATTAGGCCAGTCTGTTATACCCAGTACTTGCTGATGGGTGAAGGCTACAGAGTCCTAAGTATAACCCACTATATATGATCATTATAGTAACAACTACTTTATTGGATATAACCAAGGAATAAAGGATTGCAAAAAATTAATTTTCTAGAAACCTAAACCCTATCCTTTAAAACACCATAATTTCCCTCTATTAGTTATAACTCTTTGCTAGTTCCACAAAAATGACTATATATATATATATATATATATATATATATATATACCTATAGATATATATATAATAGTGAATGAAATTCAAAGAATTTCAAAATATATATATATATATATAATTTACTTTTCTCCTGTTACTAAAGCCAGAGCAGAAATGCTTTCTCTTGATAGTTAAGAGGATTTCTTTGGGTGAATCTCCGGATCACCCTCCCAAAAAAAGAAAACCACAAAACATTTAGATGGAAAATGAGTTATATTCAGGTCCAGGGATTTTACAGAGTGATGGATAAGAAGGAACTCTGAAAGATACATTCATAATTAAATCCTCTAATATGCACTCTGCTAGTACACTACTGAGATGATGCTTACTTTTCCTCTGTAGAAGTCCTGAGCTGCTTTGAAATAGTCCTAATCATTCCAAGTTCTGCCTTATGTGTGTCAAAAATACGGCTCCATGGTTTCTGCCCTGAGTCTCTACTCTTCAGTAGTACAGAACCAGTCTTCAGAGAAACATGCACACTGGAGACAGATATAGGTAGATTTGAGTTTTGGTACTGTCATTGGCTGTGATTCCTCTAAATTTCAATGTTCTTATCTGCCTAACTTTATAGAAGTACAGAAAGGATTAAATGGGATCATGCACATAAGCACTTCGCACAGTAACTGGCATCTGGTAAATGTTTAAAAGATCTGGTTCACTTTTTAAAAACTATTACTATAGTTGAAGGTAAACATTACATCTCCCAAGTCTTTCCTTTTTTCAGGCCAAACATTTTCAGTTCCTTCAACTGTTCTTCGACTGCTATGGTTTCAAGTATTCTAATCATGGCTGCTCTTTCCTGGACAAGTTCCAGTCTGCCAGTGTCCCTTTAACTGGTGGTATCCAGAGCTGAATACAAACTTTCAATTGAATACAAACTTTTTCCTCTGAAAATAGTTTCCATTAAAGAAAAAAAAAAATCTTTAAGTTACAAAAGTAATAAGATATATACATACAACTGAAAAACAAAACCTAGAAAATAGAAAAACAGAAAAAAAAAGTAGTTTTTTTCCAAAGTGTTCAGGGAGAATTGTATGTATGTATGTATTTGTATTTTTTAAAGATTTATTTATTTATTTATTTGAGAGAGAGATAGAGAGCACGCATGCACAAGCAGGGGAGCTGCAGAGGGAGGAGGAGAAATAGGCTCCCCACTGAGCAGGGAGCCTGATGTGGGGCTTGATCCCAGGACTCTGGGATCATGACCTGAGCGGAGGGCAGACACTTAACCGACTAAGCCACCCAGGTGCCCCAAGAATTGTTTTTTTGTTTTGTTTTCATATTTTATGCATTTATTTGAGAGAGAGAGGGAAAGGGAGAAACAGGCTCCCCACTGAGCAGGTAGCTTAATGAGGGGCTTGATCCCAGGACCCTGAGATCATGACCCGAGCCGAAAGCAGACACCTAACTGACTGAGCCACCCAGGCTCCCCCGGAGAATTGTTTTTATTTTTTTCTAATTTTTTTTCCTTTTTTAAAAATTATTTTATTTATTTGACAGAGAGACACACAGCGAGAGAGGGAACACAAGCAGGGGGAGTGGAAGAGGGAGAAGCAGGCTTCCCGTTGGCCAGGGAGCCCGAGGTGGGGCTTGATCCCAGGACCCTGGGCAGACACTTAATGACTAAACCACCCAGGTGCGCCCTAGGAGAATTGTTTTTAAACATTGCATAATATTATGTCTTATAGGTACATCCAGTTTATTTAACCATTTACTTATTGTTGGACACTGGGATTGCTAATTTTAGACAAATAGCTTTTCATGTATTTGGTATTATTTCCTTAGAACAGATTCCTAGAAGTATGACATCTGTGTCAAATGGTATAAGTATATTGATAATTCAAAGTGCTAAATTACTTTCCAAGAGCGCTCTATTTGACACTAAGGAAAAGAACAATGAAGTAGGAGCTGGAAGATGTGATTTCTAGTCCCAGCGTTTGAAAGTATTTGTTTTTGCCTTTGCCAACACTGAGAATTCGTTTTGGAAAATATTAATTTGATATCTAAAAAAAATGATACCTCCTATGTGAATCATATCTGATTACTAGTGAGGATGAACTTTCTCATGTCTGTTTGTTCTCCATGAACTGTGTCTTCATGTCCTTTGGTCTTGCATATCCTGTATCTGGGATTTTTCTAACCATGATATATAACTTTATGTATCAGCCATATGTAAATGACTTACATTTGATAAAGCCTTTAGAATGATTACATCTTTTCTGCTTTCTCAAACAGGATACAATGAACAAAATTTATCCTTTTAATTGTTCAAGGTCAGTTTTAACTTATTCAAGGAATAACTATTGAGCACCAACTTTAGGACAGGCCCTGTGTACTGTCATATCAAAAGTGAATAAGGCACAGTTCTTGCTGTCAAGGATCTCATGATCTAGCATCATAAATATCAATCAGAGTTGTTCATCTCTTCCTTTGGCTGTCAGTATACTTGTCCCACTGCTATGCTAGTGACTTTTTGTTTCTATTTTACTACAGTATTGTACCAATTATCATCTGGGTGGATGTCTGAGGGTAAGTCTGTCTCTCAGGATCATAAGGTGCTTGGGCTTATTCCTGCTGTTTGCCATGGCTGCCTTCTGGATCATGTTCTAGTGCTTACAAAAATATGACCTCTGGAGTCAAGTCAATTGCCAGAGTACTAACTTTTACATAGCCATTTTTATTTTCAAAGCACTGTCACATATAAACTCAGTCAGTGGGCTGGTACACTGTCAAGAATAACAACAAAGAAGGGCAGGTAAATGTAACCAGCAAAAGTCCAAGCTATTAAGCTCAGTGGTAAGGAATTTCCTTGATTATACAAGTAAACCAGGTAAACAATTGGGACATAATGACCTATCTATAAAAGACTTTCACAAAGTATGGGATGCCAAAGGATGTTTTAGAAAAAAGGAATTGAGTGGTCAAATACATTTGGAAGACATAGTTGAAATGAAATAGATTTATTTAGAAGAACATCCTAAAGGCTTTAATAACACATTGATATATTGTGAATTTCTGAGAGAAATCAGAGAAAGATATTATATATTTCTTAAACTCATTTAATCACAAAACCCCTATTTCATTTACATCTCATGGCACTTGTAACCTGTAGACTATACTTTGGTAAAAGAAGAACTAGAGATTTCCTCTACAATAACATGTATAATAATGTCAGCAGTTATTTATCAATCACCTCCTCTATGCCAGTCACTTTCCATGTTATTTCATCATTTCTATGAGATAAAAATATTTAATATCAATATATGTCAACAAATCACTTATTATAATATTTGTACATGACTTTAAAATTTACAGTTTTCATAGTCCATTATTTTACATAATTTTCAAAGAAACCTTAAAGTATAAGAAGACTGTATTTGGAGAATAAAGGCTTACATGGCTTGTTCTATTGGTTCAGGGCAACCAGAGTACATTTACTTACTACTATACTACATATGCTTACTACTATAGTTGCTACATTAGGAATAGGCATGTGATGCCATTACTCATTCATTCAAGAAACATTCCTTGAGCATACAATTATGTGCCAGGCATAACTAACCCATGGTCTTCACATCACAATCTAGTTACCTAGTTGAGTAATGTAAATGATCAAAGTGATGCTACTAAATGTGAAATGTGGCGAGTCCAAACTGAGCTGTGTTATAAGTGCCTATAATACATACTGAATTTCAAAGACAGTATAAAAAATAAAGTGAAATATCTCAGTAGTAAATTTTATACTGATTATCTATTAAAATGATAATACTTTGGGTACAATGGGTTAAATAAGATATATATTATTAAAAACAATTTCACCTGTTTCTTTTTACCTATTTTATGTCTCGACTAGATTTAAAATTACATATGTGGCGAAAAACCTACATATATGGTTTGCATTATATTTCTATTGGATGACACAGGTGTAGGGAGATGAAAGAGCCTGGCACTTAGAGGCAAATCAAACAGCTATGTCCTGAAGTTTGCTACTTTGAAAGGAAGTAGCAAACAAGATAGGAATCAAATTATTTAATAATTTAATAACAGATGAGTAAGTGCCTATGTGTTGAGAACTATTCCCAGTAATCCTGCTGCCAGGAACATAATGGTATGTTCAGGGCCCTCCTCAATTCCATAGACATCTAGCTCCAGTTACCTAGTACTGCATTCCCACTTGCTCCCATTTTCTGTACCTCAGACTCCTTAGTGGTAAACAGAGGAAGTATGTACATCTCCCTGATATAAGCCAGAAGAAAGAACAATTTCATTTTAAATAGGAATGTTGCTAGTATTTTCCTTAGCAGCACCTCTCCTTGCACAGAGTCAAGAACATCAGGAAGATCTAGAACTGGAAGCACTGACATAGACATACATCTTCTACTCTAGACAAGGGTATCATCAACTAAATATTGTTTATTTCCCAGTAGCTCACAAGTATCATTAAAATATAAAGCATTATTTTAAAAAAGAAAAAAATCTTTCCAAATAATTATGGAACATCTCCATGTGCAAAGTACTACACTAGGGTCTATGAAGGAGACAAATAAAGGATAGACATTATCTCTACCTAAAGAACCTGAATAGAATATTTCTGCTTATCTATTCTTAGATTACTTAGATACAGACCCCCACGTTTGACCAGGAACAAATCCCATCTCCTTCATCCCAAGGCAATATATATAGAACATTTTATAAAATGTTTGAAGAATTCATGCACTAAAGCTTACCCCAGTTAAGAACTTTAAAGAACAGGTGATCTTGGGCCTAACATGAAAAATATTCACAATCAACTCACACCCCTACTGTTCTTATATCAAGCTATATGAATGAACACAGAAGGAAGAATTAGGTTAGTCAAATTCATCCAGAAGTGAACAATGATTGCGCTATTATCAACTACTTACTTACCGTGAACACAGCCCAGGAAAGGGCAGAATGGCCTCCTCCATGCAGAAGGAGTAGGACAGGACCCTCTGAACCACTCTTGTAAACTCGAAAAGTGTATGAATAGTTAAAGATAATATATCTAAGCTTTTGCTCACTGAAGTTTTTGATTGATTATTTAATAGTTAATAATACTGATTAGAAAACTCAGGCAGTACACCAGGCTTTACGTAAAGTTGCAGACTTCCAAACTTAAGAGATACTTAAATAAAAGTTTCTGAAATACCAAACCTGTTTTTGAAGCATGGAGCCAGTATGACCACTTCTTCAATGGGGACAAAAAAAAAGATTCCCTTTGCCCTAATGAGTATATTTGGTCCCTGGTTTCTAGACACTAAACTGATTCAACTCACCTGATTCATGAAAACTTCCCCTGGGCCCTTAAGAGATATATCAGTTTCAGGAATTTAATTCTTAATCCATTCCCCATGCATTAGACAATTATATCCAAGTACGATATTGACACAGACTTACAGGTTAAATTCCATGCTGTACAAATACAGGTGGGGAATAAAAATGAGATAAACAGCAGGACTAAAGAACATTTTAGAACCTGAATATGTCTTCTTAGACAGCATTATAAGCTTGCTAAAGAATAAACCATTTTGCAAAGGATATATCCTTGCCAGTTTCATTTTCTACTTCTACATCTTCCATGGACTCAAAGTACTGACTCCAAGAAACAGGGGAAAAGTCTCGCTTTCTTCCAGGGCTAAGGAAAAAAAAAGAGAGAGAGAGTTCATGTAAAAAATAGTTATGCATGAAAAGATAAAATCTTGATTGATAAATGCTAAATGTAAATATGAAATGAAAATTCCAAGGGTATTATCTCTTAAAGAATGATCAGTTTTCATACAGAAAGCATCACATTAAAGATGTGTTTTAAAAAGTTCAAGTTAAGATTTAAGAGTAAAATTGTTAGGATTTTTAAAAATTCATTAGTATATTTTAATCACAAATATATCTCGTGTATATACACCACAAAACCTACTAGTTCTCTCTCCTTGTTCTTGGCTATCGGCTCATTCCTATCCTCTCAAGCCATTTTAAATCAATCCTGCAATAGTCATTTTTGGTCACTATTTCTTCTTTATATTTTTAATCCCTCACATTATTTCATGCTTTTTTTATTATTTCCAACCCATCAATATACAACCTTCATAAAAGGCAAACTGGCAATGCCTTAACTTCTAGGAATTTATCCAAAGATATGCTCATGCAGAAGTGAAATGACTTATCTATTTAATGTAGCATTGTTTATAATAGAGAAAAATTAGAAACAACTTAAATATCCATCAACAGGTGATAGATGAAAATAAGTTGTGGTACACAGAGAAATAATATTTAGTTATAAAAAGATGAAAGCAATTATATGCTGATTATATTCTTTGTATATAGATACACTGTTAAGTAAACAAACGATGCACCATACTACTTTTGGGTAAAAATGGGAAGTATGTGTAGATATAATTGCTTATATATGTTTAGGATATCTCTGGAAGAATATTGATGTAACATTTGATATATCCTGGCAGGGGAACTATGCCTGGGAGATGAGAGGGACAATTTTCAATGTACATCCCTTTCTATCTTCTGATTTTTGAACCACAAATTATTTTTAAAAAATTATTCTAAAACAAAAATAACCAGTAAATGTCTATTTGCAACCTATGTCTTCAACCTTGGATGAAATACAAGAAAGGAACCCTGAGCCTTACCCTATTTCCATACCTATTTTCCTCAGTAATGGAGGAAATTCAGAATTCTGTCAGCAGCAAAATGTTACCTCCTGCCAAGTATCTTCCTATATATGCCATGGGGGCAAATTGAGAATATATACGAAGTATAATGCAAAGCCCCTTTGAAAGACTTAAGTTAGTACAAAAGCACTCTAGGTTGACTATAATATGGGAATTACAATGGAGCAACTGCACCATTAGGTATATATTCTTTCAACAATCAAACATTTATTGAACATCTACTCTCTTATGGCATTGAACAGATCAGTAGTTCTCAATCCATATAACAATAAGCAGCTTTTAAAAATACCGATGCTTGGGTTTCACTTCTAAAATTGCTTTAAATGGCTTGAAGTGTGGCATAGGCACTGATCATTTTTAAAGTTCCCCAAGTTGAAAGAGGGGTGCTAGGAATACAAAGGTAAATGATTCGGAATGAGAGTAGAGTTCAAATTCCTCACAGTTCCTACCATTTCCCTATAATACCCTGCAAATCCCTAACAGTTACAGTATGGATTTGGGCAAATTCAAATTATTTAAATTCTTTCTGCCTTGGATTATAGCAACTGAACAAAATATGATTTTTCTTTCTTTCATTTTTTGTTTTGAGAGAGAGAGAGCACATGTGCGTGGGGAGGGGGGGAGAAATAAGGGGGAGCGGGGAGAGGGAGAGAATCTTAAGCAGGCTCCACACTCTGTGGGGGGCTTGACATGGGGCCGATCTCATGACCCGAGCTGAAACCAAGAGTTGGACACTTCACTGACTGAGCTACCCAGGTGCCCCAAATAACATACCTTTTAAAGGAATCTAATACAACTGGCATTTAGTAGTTGCTCCGTAAATGAGTAAAATCCTATCTCCTGATAGAAAAACTGCCTATGCAGAAGTAAACTCCAACTTCAACCTAGACCTATTTTTTCTGGTTTGCTGGTTGCACTTGAGTTCCTACTGGAAAACTAAAAGTAGAATTCTTAATTCTACTGACTCATTAGTCACTCACAAATCCACCTATGCATATACTAATTTTGAGTATAACAACCACACATGGCATGTCAAACATGTCATAATGGATTCTAAGGATCTATGGATGAATTTTTAATGTCTGGCCCTAGGATATCATCACAGTAATAGTATCTAACATTTACTGTGCAACAACAGTGAATCACTCTGCCAAGTAATTTACAGGCATGATTCCATTTAATCCTCATAAAACTCTTGAGTTATTTTTACCCCCATTACACATATAACAGATTTAGAGATATGAAGTAACTTACCCAAGGTTATAGAACTAACTACTAAATAAGTGGCAGTGACAGGATTCAAATCCAATTCCATCACTCTTCAAAGCCTCTGCTCTTTACCCCAGTGCTATATTAATTCTCAGATCCTTTTTTTCTCTCTCTTTCATTTATGCTTCTGAAAAGTAATAAGGCTTTAGAATATATTATCAGAAATTTCCTTTTCAGAGTCTTTGCAAAGCTCACAGAAACTTCTCAAGTTAGCCAGGGACCAGAAAAAATCACTAGTTTGTATAAGTAGAAATTATTCCTAGAACACCTTCCACTTCTAATTCCCTTCATTAAGAAAAAAAAAAGTTCTAGGGACTACCCAATGTATACCAACATATGAGTAATTCACATCTTGTTAAAGAGCCTGTAATCTATACCTCCAAAGGTTGTTCCTACTTAAACAGAAATTTTTCTGACATACTCCTTTGAAAATCTAATTGTTTATATCCTCTACAAGTTCAGGAATTTTGCAACCAATGTTAGACATGAAGTAGATAGCAAGGATCTTACATTGATCTTTACATTCTAGTCAGAAAGAATATTCTGTATTTTAGGGATGTAGTTTTAGTTCTTTTTAAAAACAGTTTGCTTCTGGGGTGCCTGGGTGGCTCAGTCGTTAAGCGCCTGTCTTCGGCTCAGGTCAAGATCCCAGGGCCCTGGGCTCAAGCCCCGCATCGGGCTCCCTGTTCAGTGGGAAGCCTGCTTCTCCCTCTCCCACTCCCCCTGCTTGCGTTACCTCTCTCGCTGTGTCTCTCTGTCAAATAAATAAATAAAATCTTCAAAAAAAAAATAGTTTGCTTTTTATTCTATGCCTACCTACTTTATAGTCATTACAGTCCATGTAGGCTTTTTAGTTATAATTTTTAAATAAATTAATGACTTTTTTTCTCCCTGGAGTCATAATGGAAGAATTTTGAAGTAATAAAAAAAACTTGCAAAAGCATAACAAAGTTAATATACACTTTATAATTTTTTAAGAGAGAGAGAAAGGGAACAAAATGGGGGGAGGGGCAGAGGGAGAGAGAGAGAGAATCTTAAGCAGGCTCCACACCCAGCACGGAGGCCAAGGCAGGACTTGATCTCATGACCCTAAGATCATGACCTGAGCTGAAGTCAAGAGTTGGACGTTTAACTAACTGAGCCACACAGGTGTCCCAAGGTTAATTTATACTTTAAAAATGAGGATTTATTCACCAAGAACCTGTTATATGTATCAGGCTGGAACTGAGGTGGGATGATAGGAGATGCTGGGATAATTATAAAACTAGTGATACAATGCCTCTGCTCTTAAGAAGCTAATGTTAAGGGGCGCCTGGGTGGCTCAGTCGGTTAAGCACGTCTGCCTTCGGCTCAGGTCATGATCCCAGGGTCCTGGGATTGAGCCCCACATCGGGCTCCCTGCTCCGCGGGAAGCCTGCTTCTCCCTCTCCCACTCCCCCTGCCCCCTGCTATGTTCCCTCTCTCGCTGTGTCTCTCTGTGTCAAATAAATAAATAAAATCTTTTTTTAAAAAAAAGAAGCTAATGTTAAATATGTAAATATCTAACATAAGGTAGAGTTAAATGCCTGAAGAGGTATAGCTAAAGTGCTGTGAATGTTCAAAGGAGGGAATAAAGATTAGTTAAAAAAAAGATTACTTTTAGTTTGGGAAATAAAAAAGGGCTTCAAAGAAAAAATAACAGTTAAGCTAGGCATTGAAGGCTAGACAGAATTTGGACTGATAGAAATAGGGAAGGGTAAGGAAGACATGTCAGGCAGGCAGAAGGGCACAAATAAGGACCCAGTATGGTGCCTATCATAGGGAACACTGATAAAAAACACACAAAAATAGCTAAATGCAACAAGGTAGAAATAAGTACAATGGTTCTGAAAAACTAAAAGAAGCTTATAGAACTAAAAACAGATCATGGAGAAAGAATGATATTAGAT